AAAGAGACTGACTATCTCACTCCAGTCCTTCATGTGGTAGTAATAAATTGGCTTTGCCACCAAACAGAAGGGAAGACAGAGAGCAGCTAGTGTGCAGATCCATGCATGTGAGCTTGAAGTAGACGCTTTTACATGCAACAATAAAAGCAGGGTCCTGCAACAATGTACACTGGACAAGCAAGCTTTCAAGGTCATGGAAACAATATAAAATTAGATTAAACATCTATGAGCTTATACATAAGAAAATACGAATAAAATCCAAATCGGAATATTAGCTCAAAAAATATCGCAATTTAGATTTATTGTTAAATTGTTCAGCGTTCATCAAAGAACACTGTCCTGTGAAGAATAGATGTAGTATTATGCTGTTGTTCAGTTTTGGCTATATGTATTCAGAGTAACAAAGACAAAATCTGTGTTCACATTTTAGATGTGTCATAGATTAGAAAAAAAGCGCAATAAATTGAGTTATATCTGGATAATTCTTTCTTTTAAGAGTATTGCAGCTGTGTGCTTTATCACCCATTGCACCATAGAAACAGAAAAAAAAAACAGTTAAAATGCACGGTAAAAAAGTAGCATTCATTTCTGTAAAGACTTAGTCCTGTACATGTGCAAAAAGCTTTTTCATACACTCTAGAAACCCTTGGAAAACTAACACCATGCAGAGCAGCAGTACTTTTTTTTTTTTTTTTAACAGTAAGGACTCTGTACACAATTACTACTTAAATTATAAGAGTCTGGCCAGTACAGTACGGTTTACCCCACCAAGGTCTCCTCCATCTTTACTGAGATCTTTAGCCCTATTCCACCTGAAGGTGTTTGTTTACTGTTGACCAATAGCCTAATATAGAAAAGGTTAACTGTGTTTTTATTGTTATTTAATATACTAATATTGATGGTCAACAACTATTACATTTACCCGTTGTACTGCGGGTTAATTGTCCAGGTTTAAAGTGGTTTAGTGTACTTAAATGGTTAATCTAAACAAAAGTATCCCCTGCTTTACTGAAGCTATAGCCGTGACAAATGTTAAGGTTCTAATTTGCATTATTTAATCTTTTATGGCTAATTTAAAGTCTCTTTCAAATATAAAATTCAAGTCAAAGTAGAATCACAACACATTATTGTGTGTGGCATATTGCATTTTTATTTATTTTTGAGTCATTGCCATATGGACCCCTTTCTTTAGAGTTAAAATACCTGTACCCATTTAGTTTGCTATTCTACATATCTCTTTAGTAATGTGATGTAGTTTTAGCAAATATTATGGCCAGTGATATAGAAGAGCGTGCAAGTCCCGAGAAAAAAAATAATTATTACCTTGGCCAAGGAGGTCAAGGTAATAATTAAGGAGGTTTTTTGGTTTGTCTGTCTTTTTTATTTTCAAAACAAAAAGAGTAATGAGTGGATTTCGCAGAAATTTAAAAAGTGGGTGACTGTATTCTTTGAATACAGATATCAACTTAAAGGGGAAGTCACAATATGCTAGGGAAATGAGATTCTTGGCAGAATTTTGCTCTCCCTGGGGGCTTTTCTGGTTATAGAAGTGGTCTTTAGACTTATCTATTCTAAGAACCTAGAACTAGAGACATTTTACTTAGAAATATAAGTATAAAGTATATTGACTCATTTATTTTATAAGAGGTGGCAGCCAATTAAAAATGTGACTATGGTAACTAGTAATTAAAATTTGATGTTTGTTGATTGTATGATAAACTCTATTTTTCTATTTATTTATTTCAAATCTTTGGATCTTATCTCCATTATTAGGGATTCCTATCTGGTGTTGTTTTTGTCTAAGTTAGATCTTCCTTTTTTTATTATTCACATTCGGAACTCCCAAAAATCCACTACGTTGTTCGGATCCAACTTGTTTTTGCAATATTCCTACTATCTGCACATTTGATTATATAATGAGGAGGAAAATAATGGCTCACTTTGAGGTTAATTCTAACCAACAAAGTAGAATTACTAGGATGTGCAAGTTTTATGACCGACATTTAAATAAAACGGCCAGATTAGGATGCATTTTTCATTACTTTTAATCAGCCTTTTGTTTGCATGTTGTATGAGTAGAGTCAACCAAAAGCTCAATCTACTCCATCAAATTAAATGTTTTAGTCTGAGAACTGACCTCTTAAGCTCTGATAACTTCAATTGATGCCAGATTAAATTTCATTTCATGTGCTGATAAAACTTAACTATAATACATAACTATTAAGTGTTTGTGCAGATCACCACCAGGTGCCAGCATCACTTACTGGTTTGTAGGTAGATTGCTTGATGTTTGATGCGCTGCACTTGTCAACATGATGGAGTTTCTGTAGCATTTAAGATCCAATTCAAACCCAAAGGCTTCAGCTAACATTAGCTGAATTCAAACCACAAGAGTATCGCTAAACCAGCATTGACCAGTTGAGTTAATCTCACTAACTCTAGCAATATAGAATTGTATTTATTTTCTAGAAAATGAATGTAAATGCAGCATCTTGCTTTGTGTGTAAAGAGCAGATGCTGAGTATCAGATTTATATTTTAAAATGAGTCAAAATGATTGCAGGTGTTGCATTTTAAAACATCTGTAGTATATTTTTACAACGGGTAAAAGTGGTTAGTCCCATTAGCATTGCTAAAACACGTTGATGTGTATATGTCTGTGAGAATGTCTGTTTTGTAGATATAAATGACTGATATGAATGTGTATCCAAAAGCTGTTGGAGTGTGCTGAGATGCCCGGACTGGATGAGAGGGATTATTGGGCTAAAGGATAATTTGATTTAGGGATCAACAAAACCCATCTGGTGGTTATGGTTTACACGTACCTCAACCTGACATCAATCAAAATATATTTGGCTGCAAAACAGACATAGTGAGTAATGAAATATTCTGGTATAAAAATTACAAATAAATAAATAAATGGAATGAAGTGCCTCTTTTACTGTGATCAGGGCTGTATTTTCTGCTGTCATCCAGGGCTAGGAATTTCTTCGTCAGTTAAGATCATAACCTTCATTCAGACTCAGGATGTTGAGAGGGTGGATACTCTGCTTTATCTGACTAAAAATATGTGACTGAGTAGTTTTGTAGAAATTTCACATTCACATTGTTTAAAAATAATAGTTCTAATGTTTGAGAAACAAACAGGAAAAAAAGCACAATGGAAAAATGTTGCATCCTACTCCTGTGGGCTGTTCTACAAATATGTAGACTTATTTAACTAATTGCCATGAACAGTTTTATCTATAAAGGAATAGAAGGCTCATAGTTAAAAACATCTCAAAAGTAACTTTTGGTGTAAAAAACTATTGCTGAAAAAGTATTTTCTCCCAACACGACTGATATCTTCTAGTAACTTCTCTTTTTTGTCTAATTTTGTCCGTTACTTTTGTAGGAAAACCCCTCTGGCCTAGGCATGGTATTGGGATAGTTCAATAATGCTCTGCAATGCTTGGAATGTCAGCCTAACGCCAGTTCAAAAAGACCATCCCTCAGCCACTAAACCAGTGGATTACTCTGTCTAAGACTGCATGTATAACTGCTCATGTCACATGAAATTAAGAATCCCACCCAATTATGCATACCTATAGTGATCATTTCTGTGAAGTCTAGTTTAGCCCCAGTTTAACATGAAGGAACAAAATACTTGATTTCCCTCCTTAGGGACCCCACCCACTTTCCCTCTGTCCAGCAGACCTCTGAGGTTTTGGCCGAATTAGATCACACGCTTGGTGGGGGAGGCTTTGAGGACTAAGAGACTCACTGAGAGACAACAATGGCTCCAATGTGTGTGAAACAGATTCAGAGGGTAGCATGCAGAATGATTGAGGCTTATCGCTGTGGAGACCAGGCTGGAGGCTATATTGGTGGGTTTGTTTCATAAAGGTTAGAGACATAAGCCCACTTTTTGGGTAGATCAATGCATAAGAGCGTAGACTATCCACTGGAAGGACTCTGTAAAATGCTTCTTTTTTTTTTGTTTTTTTTGGAGAGATTATGAAAACAGATGGCCGGAGCTACCTTTTGAGGGCATTTTGGAAAACAGATGGGTTGGGTAGTACTGCCATCTTGTGAGGATTCCCTTCTTTTCTGCACTCAGGTTTTTGTTTTAAAAGTTTTTAACAAATCCAAAACAATTTTAACCCTTTAAAACCAGTGCATTATATGAGATTCATGAGTTGCATTACCAGTGTAATATTGTTAGTCTTGAAAACCCTGACTTACAGATCAGACACTTGTAGTGAACACAAAATATATAAAACATTATACAGAAATCCTTTATCACAAATAATGCGAATAAATTATCTAGTTTAACTGTATGTTTTCTTGTCATTTGCAGATAGTCAGACAATTCTAGTTTGATTTCATGGTTTCAGGGTTTAAATGGGTAATTACATTTGTACTGTGCCCTTCAAACGACAGTGTTTATCTGTATATCCCAGAAGAGTCACTGAGAGTCACAGAGATTAACTTTTATTTGAAACCAAATGATTACAGAATTGATATTTGAAATTATATCTGACATTCTTTTTAATATATTAGCTCTCTTAGTGTCAGAAAAAAGTGCAAAAAGTGGTTTCTGTGTGTAATCTCTAGAAAATGTAGATCCTTGCTCCAACTTAACATTTCAAAAATCCTACTAAAACTTTTTAAAATTCTCAATTTTAAAGTTATATAATAAGTCTGAAGATTTTGCCATTATCCCCTACCAGAAGATATTTATGCAGACATCACCATAAATATCCAACAGACATAAGATACAGATCCCTTTTAAACTATGTATTATGACTCTCTGCTTCCTCTGATTTATCTTCGAACACCTTGCTGGTAATGACAGTAGTTTACAACTTCCATGCTATTAAGTATATTTGCTACCTCAAACTTATTATTTTTTTTTATTTAAACTGTACTCCTGGATCAGGAAAAGAATGCAGTTAATTTTTCAACAAGCAATGCATAGGTCAAGCTGAGTTAACTTATGTTTTCCTTTTTTCCTTTTAGGTCTGTTGAAGATGCACTGGTCTCCGGAGCACGTCGCCCCTTTATCTCAGTGGCCTGAACAGCACCTAGATGTGACATCCACCACCTCCCCCCAGTCTGCCCACAAACAAGACCCCTACAGTTCTGCTGCCCGACGCACCTATGCTCCTGCTGGGTATCCTTGGGCCAGCGATGACATATCTGCTCTTACGGCTTCTTCGCTCCTGAAACGTTACGCTGAGAAGTACTCAGGCCTGGAATTGTCTTATGAACGCCCTGCTACAGGTGTCTACTCTGAGTCTGGAAGTTTCCTTAAAACTGAATCCGAATCTTGGGCTTTGAGTCAAGGTGTTGATTGCTACCCCGGACTTGAGGCACTAACTGGTACCAAAGTGGGGCCTGGCTCAGTAGGAATCCCAGCTACAGGAAGTGTAACATTAGTGAGTAGTAACTTGGTCTCAGAACCAGGCTATAGCGGGGCTCCATCCTGCAATACCCCATCGTCTCAGGAATACCCTCCTGCCTACAACAGTACCTATCTGTCCCCAGGATACTGTCCTCAACCAAGTGCAGCACTTCCACCTGCCCCTCTGCACACCTTGCAGCCAACACCTTCTCTAGTGCCCAGCTACAGCACCAGCACCCCTGTCTACAACTACACACCAGGTTGCTACCCCCAAGCCAGCCTTTCCTCTGGATACAACCACCCTAGTGCCTCTTACCTGCCTTCAGGTATTAGCGCTCCTACACCTTTGGCCCCTAGACCTACTGTAGTTGGGGGTAGTTATAGTTATTCTTGTCACAGCATTGGTGGGAGCTCTGATGCAGGTGTGCCACTTAAACGCAAGGCCTTCGAGATGACAGAGGAAGGACAGGAGGATGTAGAAGTGGATGGATCGCGTTACAAAAAGTATGGCAACAGTTCAGGAAGCAGTCATAGCAAAGGTAATGGTAATGGGCAAGCTAACGGCTACGATGTTAGTGGCCCTTCCTCAGATCAGCAGGGTTACAAGGCTGGAAAGCCCCTCATATCACCTCCTTACAATGGAGCAGCAGACTATAGCCCACCACCAGGCCTCGCAGGGGAGAGCGTGGCAGGAGAGCACAGCTTTACTCAGCAGCAAAGAATGTCTGTCAAGATACCAGCATCTCACACACGAGCAGAGGACCCTACTTGTGGCCGCTGATTATCGCAGTCAAAACAAAAGAGATGTATCCAAAGACTGAAGGGTTCTGGCGCAACATTGAATTGTTCTTCAAAAAGTGTAATCGCTCTGGCAAACACAAGAGGGCACAAGACTTCTATTTCTTGTGGATGTTTATCATTACTCATATATTTCCAAAGATTCACAGAGGTATTTTGGCCCCCTAGGTTAAGCTACTCTCTGCATAGACAGTCTAAATATACGAGTGTCTGTTTCTCTCAGGATCTTATGTACTACTTGCTGGCTACTTTTTTTTTTTTTTTAAGGAAGATGATATACTCCATCTTATTTGCGTAAACAAGAATGCCTTTGACTGCAAAAATACCCAACAAAAATGACCAAAAAAAAGCAAGCAATAACTAAAATGTTGAGATTGCCATGCTACTTTAGCATAATCACTGCTACACCACTAACTGCAAGGCTTGATGTGTCATTGGGCCTTATTTTCTATCTTACCTTCCATCTTTTGCATTTATTCTCTGCCATGGATTCCATCCTTTTCTGCTCAACAATGTCTGTGCAGAACTGCTTAAATCATACCGTAAATCCTCTAATATAGGCCCGGGCCTTTATTTCACTCAAGTGCATCGCGGTCCAGGCCTTTATTGGAAAGAGGCCAGAATTAGAGACAGGCCTCTATTGCTATTTGAACAAAACAGACTACCAGTGGAATGAATAAAAATGAGATTTTGTGTCTATTTGAACCTATAAAACACTAGGTTCATTTATTGAAAAAGTACAGTTACCATGTCTCGCTTGGTTTGAAGTAAAAAAGAAAAAAAAAATCCTCCAATTCTGTTTAATCCTCCTCCTCAGTTTCCTCCTCCTCTTCATCTCTCCCTTTAATCTCCTCATCACTCGCGCTCCTCCTCATGTTCTGCTGCGTGTCTGTTCTCTTCCTCGCGCAGACGGGCAGCAGTCAGGGCCTGTCGTCCAGCTGCGCAGGGCTGTGGTACTTGTATGTTACTACCACAAGTATAATGTTGAGGTATGCCCCAGAAAAAACGTTTATAGCCCCGGCCTGTATTAGAGACCGGCCATTATTTACCTCCTCTGACAGCGAGACCGGCCAATGTTAGAGTCCCGGCCGCTAATGGAATACAGGCCAATATTAGAGAATTTACGGTATATATATATATATATACATATATACACAGTGCTCTGAGAAAATATATTTCTTTTGATTTTACCTTTTTTCCCACTTCAGTGTTTTACAAACCAAAGAAATTCAAAGTTAGCGCTTTTTTCTTTCAACCCGTTTTGAAATGTAATTCTTTGTGGGCTGTTTATCTGTGTCCAGCTGCAGAGCCTTACCAAGTTTAATATTTTTAACCTGATAGCTGGACATTGTCTTTAAGGATTAACCGCTATTGAGCGGAATTCAAAGTCACATCAATAACAACATTTACTTAAGTCCTAAAGAAGAAAAGCAACTCAGACCATCACATTACCATCACCATGCTTTACTGCTAGTACAATGTTCTATTGTTTGGTCAGATGTAACAGGAAAATATCCCATATAAAGTTCCACTTCTGTCTCCTCAATGAACAGAAAATGCATTGCAAATTCTTGGAGATCATCAGTATGTTGTCTTGGGTCAGTTATGGTTTGGGCTTTTGAACTCAATCTCTAACTCTAGAGGGGCTGTTTTTTCCAGTATTTTTCTTATATCTCTTAAATCTTTGCTTAACTTCCCCAAGTGAGCCCTGCAGTCCTCTAGATATTGTTTTGGGTTCGTTCCTACCTCCATCTAAGTGCTTAAGTTAGGTCAGCTACTTATTGGAGGGCGTCTACTTTTCAATGTTTTCTATATTTTGCTGATTATGGCTACTTCTATATTCCCAAGACAATGAAATGTTTTCATACTGATAGATATCAATGTGTTTGTCATCCATCTGTTCCTAAATTCATACAGATCTAGTCATAATGTGTGTTTTTTGAGGTCCTCAAGCCTATTCATGATCTCAGCAACGTTTTTTTTTCATCGATTTTCTGATCTTGCTGGTCTGGTAGTAATCTGACTTAGTGTAGCTTGTGACATTAAACCAAAAAAAGAGGAGAATTAGTTCATCAGACTTCACCAATGTGGAAAAAGTAAGTTTTATATTGGGCCAGTTTGATTTAGATAGCTTTTTCCCCTTAATAATGATATCATCATTTGGAAAATGCATGTAGTATAAATTTTGGCTATATTTTTTCTAATTGAAAAATGTTTGTAAGAACAAAAAGAAAACATGTATGTTAGGGGGAATTTACTTTTTCACAGCACTGTATGAAATCCTTCATTAACTAAGTCACTCTTTAAAATTATAATCCATAATGTTGGATCTAAGATTTCATTTTTATTTGACTGTATCTGGCATTCAATAAATCGTAAGATTAAAAAATCTACAGGTTAGCTTCTATGAGTGTAGTTACCACAGCACATTTGTGCCCAAACCAATAATCAAAAAATAACATCCAGTTAAAATGCAAAAAGGCTGTTTATTGTTTGGATGAACAGCATGCAGGTCCCAGTGCCTCATACACATTTTGCTCAACATTATAGTCTTTATGAAGAGTTACCTCCTTATTTGCTTTTATTTACTTTTTTTTAATATGCAATCTCTTTACTTAACCCTCTTAGAAGGATGATTTATATTCATGTTATTGAAACTCAGGAAGAATATTGTTACCTCAGAATGATAAAAGTAAGAATGTATGTTATGACCTAAGGGTGTTGGTAGCGAGCTTTACGGAGCAAGACGGAGAAAGAATACAGAGCCATGGTTAAAGACTTCAGGGAAACCACAAACATACAATGCCCTCAGTAATATGAAACTTTATCGTCCTCGCACAATTGCACTAACGCAATCCCCCCTCAGTTTTATTGCTCTGGCAAACTTGAAGTTGTCATACCGAGGCCTGAAATGTTGAATGTAATTCAGATAAATTTTTTTTTTTTAAGGACAATACATGCCATAATGTACATCGGTGATGTTTTTAGATATATAAAACATATTTTCTTTTGTGTATAGATGTAATTCTCTTTTAGGATTTATTGGAAATTTGAATGCCATGTTAAGTGTTAGTTTAATTAGTGTTAGGGAGATGATTGTGCAGACAAACTGTCATAACAAAGCACTCCTGGATAAAAAAAAAAAATATTTTCCTATATCATCTACGCCATGTGCTATATTTCAATGGTTGCTAGATGTCTTAGTTAAATATTAGCAGTTGACTTTCTTATTACTTAAATCTGTCAAAAAGATAAAAGGTATGAATACATGCACCGTATTTGCAACTTTTAATTAATCTTTTTTCCTCAAGATGTTGCTTTAATTGAAAGAGTTTAATTGAAATTAAATAATACAAGTGAGTGCAGATTTTACCCATCTAAAAAAACTAAATTTCTCATAATGTAATAAAATATAGCAAAGATATTAATGTCAAAAAAAGCTTTAACATCTTTAGGGAGGAAAAAAAGAGCTCAATTTTAAGCGCTTAGTTAAAACAAATGTGCGCTCTAATGCCACAAAAAGAACATGTTCCATTTTAAGATATGCACAACAGCAACTATTTTATTTTTTATGTGTTTCTCTTATGCAGTAAAGAATGTGGAACAAATCTGAACATTTGTGACATCAGTGTAATTATCATTATTTTGCATTCTCCTTTACCGTTTCTACCTCATTCTGAAGACATTGTACACGGAGGTATTTATTTCATGTCTTTTTCAGATGCCGGCATAAAAAGCAATGTTTTAAACTGATGACCTGTTTAAGTCTACCTCACTAAAGACTGCTCTGTCATGTTTTGTCAAATGAAAATATACGCAAAAAAAAAACAACAAAAATCACACTTGGATTTGTCTGTTTTTCTTTGAAAACAAAAAGAGGGTTGGTCTACAACTAAGCTTGAAGTATCATCAATACGTTTTACAGCATTTCCATTTCTTTTTTATCTATCTATGCAGCAACTGAACCATGTATTAGCTACCTAGGTGGATATAGCTAGCTACTGTATTTGATGGTTTAAACCAGTGATTCCCAACCGGGGGGTACTCGTATCTTTAGTGGTACGCGAGTGCATCGCAAGGGGTACATGAAAATATTGTATATCTTAGGTAGTAAAATAAAATAGGGTTGGGATCTGTTTTGCTTTGCGAGGACCCAGTTGAAAAATGAAACAAGATTTCAATCAAACAAAAGGTAAGTTTTTCTTATACGTTTGAGTCACCTTCAGCTTTGACACACATCAAATTCAAGTAGAGGAACAGACTGGATGTAGAGAACAGCCTGCGATTGGCTGTTTTTCACACTGAGCTATCGGAGCTCATCAAAGCAGGTTGGGTGTCTTGATGAAAACAAAGTAAAATTAATTAAGCCATTCTTACTATAAATTTTGTTCTGTTTTGTTCCAAATTCATCAAGTTTAAATGTGATTATAATTGAGTTACTCAGAGGAGCTCCAGTTTTATAAATACAGGTTTATAATATGACTTTATTTTATATTTATTTAAATTCCTCACTAACTTCCAGGCAACATATTTATGTTGTTTTTTTATTTGAGATGAAAAGCATAAAAAGATTTAAATGCTTACGTTAAAAGATTAAGTAAAATAATTTGTATTTTATCATTTTTTTGTACGTTCCACTTTTGGACAATAGTAATTTTTGACTGACAGGGGTATGCTCAAAGGGGTACACAAGTCAAAAAAGGTTGGGAAAAAGTGGTTTAAACGACAAACATTTTGCACTAATATTCAAAAAGACAATTCAACTTCTGGTCTTTATGTATCTGTTATTCTCTCTGAAAGATTTTTCTCTTTCTTACATTGATTCAAGTTTAACCTTCTCACTTTGAGGTCAGTTGAATTACCAAAAGTTTTTTTCGTTTCCAGACATGAGAGAGAATTTTTTTATGTTTGTTTCTAGTTTAAAGTTGGACATTTTACTTAATCACTATGCCCTTCAGTAATTAGAACAGACCACGTGGTGATTTCACCGTTTCTAATTACTTTATTCACAGAAGCTGAGTTCAATGAAGTCACAACTATGGATGCATAAGGCAAAACCCAAACCACTCTATTTTTATGTGGAACATTATCTTAAAGGAAATATGGGAACAAATGTATGTGATTCCTCCTTGGATGAAATCTTTAGATGCCTAAAAGTGTCTTAGTCTAACCATACAGTATATGGATATTAAACAGAATATTTCTAAAAGATTTTTAGTTTTTGTACTGTCAGAAATTATAACTTATTTAGGTCCATTAAGCATAGAAAAGTTCTTTCTTGTAAAACTGACGATTAGCTTTTAGATAGCTTGAGGAAAAAATGTTGAAAAAGAAAATATGAAAAATTAGTGAACAACATTAAGAAAACAGAGAATATTTGGAAATACCACCTGGCCTAAAAGAGTAAAGGTTAGATCCACTTTATTAAGAAAGCGTGTTGAAATTATATGTGAGTGTATTTATACAGTGTATGTTAGTACATATTCTTAACTATTAGTTTAATAGACCCTCCTTTTTTTTTTTTTACTACATTTTCTTTAATTAACATATAATAGATATGAGCAGACACTGCAGGCCTTACCTGCCTCCATCATCACTGCTTAAAGTTCAACAATAATTGGTTTAGCTTTTTAACCTAATAAATTAAATTGTCATCTAAAATCT